ATGTTTTTAATGCTTCATGGCACTATGGTGGTTTGCATAAATCCAGATAAGTCTCTCCTCTCTGTAGTAGGATCTACCACTCATGCAGACAGGAAAAACCAGCCATGGGACCCCAAAGCCCTCTTCCAGGGAAACAGTCAGGGGATCTGTCTAAACGACAGGAGCAGAGACTTAACAGGTACTGTTTCAAGTACCCTCCAAAGTTCAGGGCAACCCTAAAGGCAGGCTGGCTTAAGGAAAGATTGGAAACCATCTTTGCTATGGAGGAATCTAGGACTCTGCAATGACTAACTCAGTCTGGGCCTATTTTAAAATAAGGCCCAAAGCCACATCCAGTTCAACCTGAAGGCTCAAGGCCATGCAGTTCACCGCGGGACATATTATGGCCAGGCCTGGGTAACTCTGATGTGCCAGATAATATTAATGCCATTACTGGTGTGTCTCCTATCTTTAGCCGACCCCCAGGACTTTGCAGTAAATAATGGGGCATCCCAAATGGAGAGTTCTCTAATCTTACTGTGTTTATGCAAAAGGACAAAGCCAGGTTTGTTAAGCTATCTGGCAAATTTTTAAAATAAAAGGTAAAGGTAAAGGCCCTCCCGTTGATCGTTGATTTGCTCGAGCGGGCCCAGTAACGTCTCCATTGGAGACTTTTGTTGTTACTGTGTCTGGCATATCGAATACTCTCGGTAGCTTGCCGGGCTCTCCGAGAGGGGTGGAGGAATCGAACTCGGGTCGGCCATGTTGGCCGCGTGTAAGGTGAACGCCCTACCTGCTGTGCGAGAGAAAACCATATTCCTGTAACTTGCTTCTTGGAAGAATCAGATTCTAATTCTACAGAGGTGATTGAATAAATATATCCTAGTCTTGACCTAAAAGGTAACCCCTTTGGGAATTTCAGATAAAACTTGGTTTACTGGCCGTAGGTAAACAGCCTGACCTATAAAGAAACTCAATGTTGTACATGCTGTCACTTATTCTGATCAGAGCATTGGAAGCCAGAGCTTTACTAGGGGGAACCTCAGCTCAAAGTGCAGAATTAATTGCTTCCCCCCATTCTGTGAATTGGCCGATGTTGCTCTGGTTTCTGTTGCTTTAACTCTTTTTTTAAAGACAGCAAACAACTCTGTTCTTACAGAGTCAAAAGGGACTTTCTACTCCACCAGGGTCGAACCATTTCAAAGTGATATCCCTCAGTCTACTTAGACCGCATTGAGGAATCAATCAGCTATCTGGAAAAGTCTTTGACTTCTCTCTCGCAGGTAGTCCTCCAGAACCCTAGTGGACTGGACCTGCTCTTCCTCCTGAGTGGGGGACTATGCACAGCTCTTGGGGAAGAGTGCTGCTTCTATGCAGAACACAATGGAGTTGTCGGAGACTCCATGACCAAACTCAGAGAGGGACTAGAACACCAGAAAAAAAAGCGTGAGGCCAAGGAAAGTTGGTTCGAGTCCTGGTTCAACCAGTCCCCTTGGCTGGCCACCCTCATGTCCGCACTCGTGGGACAGCTAATTCTCTTCTTTCTTTTGCTTGCTGTTGGACCGTGCATTGTAAACAAGCTAGTATAGCATCTGTTAGAGACCGCGTTAATGCAGTTCAACTGCTGGTTCTAAGACAGCCATACGAGACTCTATCCACCCGCAGTTCCTAAGGACGGACATTCTTCAGTCTAGAGGCTGGGCATAGAGAAAGATTCCTCTATGACAAAGAAAAAGGGGGAAATGTTAGGACAGGACAGCCTTGAACTGGGCCAAGGACAATGAAGATAGTAAAGTTTCCACTCAGGTCTCTACTATCTGCTTATTCCGGGAGGAATGTACGGGCCCCTGAGCTATGAAACAGATGCCTGCCACGGGTCCAGGCTTACCCTGGGACCCGGATATCACGTGAAGCCCGGAGTGGGCACTTACGTAAATTGTGATCTTCAAATCTGCTGTAACGGCCAACTTGGGCCTATATAAGTAACCCCTGTACCTTGGGTCGGGGTCTGACCTCTCACACGGGACCTGGGCGTCGCTGTGTGCGTGTGCACGACCCTGGCTAGCCAGCTTAATAAACTGTCTGCTTGCTGATTGCATTCCTGTGTCATCCTTGTCTGTGGTTGGAGATCCAGAGCTGTGTCCTAACACACGCAGACTGAGATGCAGCTACCAACTGCCTCATGGAACTGGTGGATGTGAATGTCCATGCTACAGAGGTGCTTGTAGTCAACTTTGCCAGTCCTAGCCCACCTTAGGGATTCTCTCAAGTGACCAAGCTGGGTCAAGCAGAGAGGCAGAAGCATCCTTTTCTCAAGGCTACCTCTCTTAATGCTCCATTTCACTCAAGTCACTTACAACAACTGAATCTATACCCAATAGCTAGGCTGGCTCAATAGTTGCAAGATAGCCTCTTTTATGGGGGCTACAGTGGGAAGCAGCAGAACATATTCTGGTTTTAGTCTTAGAGAAAGTGTCTATAATGACAGGTAGCCCCTGGAACAAACCCAGACACCTCTCCAGTCCACTGTCATCAATTCAAGCTTCTCGGAGGCCTGCAACCATGGGGAACCTTCCTTTCCTTTTTGAGGCCCAGTTTGGAACTGTTGACAATCTTAGCCTGGCCTTAGTTCCAATTCCTTCAAACTTAACTAATTGATAGTTAAGTTTTAGGCTACTAAGACTATTATTAATGTAGTGTCAGAGTCCTCTGTTGTTCTTTTAGGCATTAGTGGACTATAATTCTTGTTGGTGATGCAATCAAACTCAGGAATTCCAAAGTTTTGTTTTGTTGTTTGTTTTGGGGCCATATCTGGCAATACATTCATGGGTTACTCTTGACTCACTGATCAGAGGTCACTCTCTGTGGTGTTCAAGGAACCATGTAGTACTGGAGACTGAACTTGGGCGTCCACAAATGGCTGGGCATGGAGACTATTAGGCTGAGTGAATTGAGTCAGAAGGAGAGGGACAGATATAGAATGATTGCACTCATCTGTGGGATATAAAAATATGAGTCTAAAATTGAAGGCCAGAAAACACAGGAGGCAGGAGGACTGGTCAATGGTTGGAAACTTGCCACAAGTGTGTGGGGGTCAGAGGGCAGTAAGGACAAAGAAGCAACCCGTATTATAATAATAGTTGGAAATAATAACTCTGGACAAGAACTGAGTTTTGAAAGTAGGTAAAGGGATATACATAATAATCTTTCAGTATCTGTATTCCAAACCATAATGCCCAAAAGGAGAGAGAGAGAGAGAGAGAGAGAGAGAGAGAGAAAGAGAGAGAAAAGATGCCATAAAGGCAATGGACAATAAATGATCTAGCATCTGCCCCTAGCAGGCAGGCTTGAATGGTGGTGGGAAAATGTGAGCAAAATATAATGCCCAAAAGTAGAGAGTGAGTATTGGGGAAATTGCCTGCCATCAAGGCAGGGTAAGGTTTGGGATGGGGGGCGGGGGGAGAGGAGAAATATACTGGGGACACTGGTGGTGGAAAGTGTGCACTGGTGGAGGGATGGGTGTTCGATCATTGTATGGCTGAATCTCGAACATGAAAGCTTTGTAAATGCGTATCACAGTGATTAAAAAAAAAAGTAATGTTGAGTTCATGCCCAATTCAAACAGCTTAATCAATGGCTGAATAACTATAGCAGTACTCCTACATTAAAAAAAATTACTGTGGGGCTATCCCAGACAGTGTTGGGGGTCACCAGGACTACACTTAGCAGCTCTGACATGGTGGCCCTGACATGGTGGAACAAGCCCAGGGAGCCTGATGATTGGCCTTCGGTGCACTCCGAACATGCAGGATGTGGTGGTCAGGACCCAGTCTTGCAGGAGACTCCTAAAATCAGGGAAGATAAAGGTTTTTCTCTTCAGAGCCTTTAGCAGGAATCCAGCTCCAATTTCAATCCTGTGAGATCCATTTTGGCCTTCAGGCCTCCAGAAATATGGAATAATTTTTTTTCCTTTTTAGGTCACACCCGGCGATGCACAGGGGTTACTCCTGGCTCTGCACTCAGGAATTACTCCTGCAGTGCTCAGGGGGACTATATGGGATGTTGGGAATCGAACCCAGGTCGGCCACGTGCAAGGCAAATGAACTATCTGCTCTGCTATCGCTCAGAAATATAGAATAAATTTGTGTTGTCTTCAGCCCCTCCATGTGTGTTGTTCCATAAACCACAGGAATGATGAATAGAGGTAGTGCCTTCTGACCCCCTCCCCCCAACAACACCTCCTCTGCCCCTCTGCCCCTTCTGGACTGCGGATAGCCAGATAGCCTACCACCTGTTCCACAGTCCCGAGATTTTCCTTCTCCAGCAGCCTGATCCTTGGAAAGAAAAGGCTCACATTTCCCACCCTTTGAAAAGGAGAATCCATGAAGTACAGAAGAGTTATCAGGAGGAAAGGGAGGAACACTCAGTCATCTGGTTTCTAACTCATTCTTTACTCACACAGGCAAAGAAAGATCCAGGGGCTCACTACCCTGGATTCTGATGGCTACAGACCCAGGCCTGCCCAAAATTAGAATAATATGAAAGTCCATGAAAGTAATGCCTGGGGCCCACCCCAGGGATTTGGGCTGAGCTGCAAATAAGCTTGGAGCACGAGCATGGCCCAAGCTACCTTGGATCTTGGGAATACAGTAAAAAAAAGTTGTCAAGGGAGATCTGTCGTTCAAAATGTCTCTGCCCCATGCAGACAGAATTCTGCGACATGCCTAGCCTACACACTACTTGCTTCTTGGGAGCCCCCAGACTGCATGGACACGTTAGCTAATGGACAACGGAGGCAGAATTTCAAAATTTCAGGGCAAGCACTGGAGTCTGGGTAATGCACCGGGGCTGGAAGAGACTCACTCAGGGCACTGCCCCCTCTTCACTGGGCGCCCTGAGAGTGGGGAGCGTGCGGAGAGGGAGGACCGAGAGGAGGAGGCGAGGCGGAGAGGCAGGGAGGGGACGGGCAGGTGAGGAGGTAGGAAGCCCGCTGGGCGGGGTGGGGGTAAAAAGGGCGCGCGCGCCCCGGCCCGGCAGGACAGCGGCGCGCACGGAAAACCAGCGTCCCGCGCGCACGATGGAGCCGGCGCTCGAGCTGGGGCTCGGGGACTCGTCCCTGCACCGCTACCTGGACGGCGAATACTGGACCCTCAAGAACGAGCTGCGTAGGCTCCTGGGCGGCTGCCCGCTCTTCCAGCACAGGTACCCCGCCGCGGCCACGGACCCCAACCACGCCCTGTCCCCCCCGCGCCTCATTCCCGGCGTGTCCTGGCGGCTCCGCCTAGTGCGCTCCCACCAGGCCTGGGCTGGGTCCCGCCTTGCCTCCCCCGCGGCTGCTGCTGCACCCTGAGCGCGCGTGGGGAGGGGCCGCCTCCTGCCGACCTCCCGGGACCCCAGGTCGGGCGGCACGGGGGTCGGGCTCGGGCTGCGGAGCCCCAGGGTCCCGAGTCCCCGCCCCTGGCGGTCCCAGCCGGTGGAAGGCTGCGGCGGGAGCGCCGGGGTGCGGGGCCGGCTAGGGCGCGGGGCGAGCGCGTCTGTGCATCCCGACTCTCGGAGATCCTCGCAGAGCTCAGGTGAGCCGAGCCGGCAGCCGAGCAGCGTTGGCGCGGGGTGGGGGGCTGGGAGGTTCGGGGCTAGGGTGGGCGAGACCAGCGCTGCGGTTTGATTGCACAACAGCCGGACGAGTGGGCAGCGAGCGGGGTTGGGACCGCTCAAGTTTGCAGGAGAGGAATGCTCGGTCACTCAGGGATTCAAGCCAGGACCTGAGTGCCTGGAAGGACTCCTGGTGGTGGTGGTGGTGTGTGTGGGGGGTGGGGGTTCCTTCTCCAGTGCTTTCCTCAAGCCGATCCCATCCCATCCCAGACCCATGCTTGGAATCGTGCTTTGGCTGGGTTAGCAATAACAGTCTACACTGAAAAACAAAACAAAACAAACCAAAAACCGAAAACGTGGGTCTTTGGGGCGGAGAAATACAAGCAGAAGTGTGCAGTACTGGGGGAAGGCCGTGCACTCAGCCAGCAAGGGTTCGATCCCCAGAACAGTGCCAGGTGTGACCCCTGAGGAACAAGCCGTGAGCCCAGCCACGTTTGATGCAAAAACAAATCAACAAGGAAAAACAAATGCGGATCTGTTCCTGACGCAGGTGGATCCTTGCCCCACGCCCAGCCCTCCTTTAGTCTTTGTCTCAGGAATAAGCTGGGCGGAGAGGGAGGAGGTACCATGAATAAAAGTGAGTTCTATTGCTTGGAGCAGAAGTGGGGTCCTCCCAAGGGATCTACTCTACCATGGGGTGGGGGTTCAGGTGACTCACAAGTCAAAAAAATACTTTTTTTCCAACAATGAAACCAAGAGGATATTGGTCGTTCCATTCTTGTTTCCTCTTGATTGCTGTAGTTTCCAGAGATGGCATGGATGTGATATTTCAGCAGACAATGCAGAGCAGATAGGAGTATCGGGCTGTCATCTATTAAGACAGACATTAAAAGGGTTTGAAAAAAATCAGAATAATACTCTCTAATTTATTTCTTTTGAAAAATATATTTTTATAAAAGAATTTAATGAGTTTATTTTGGTTATTTTCAAATTGTTTAATATATCTACTAATGTGGTAAATATTGCTAGATGTTTGAACTGGCCCTCAACAATTTTTTGAATTCTTTTCCCTTTCTTAAGAACAGTTTTAGGCTTTTTCCAACTCTGGACAAGCCCATGTTATCTCTTGAACACACATTTCTCTTATTCCTCTCCTCACATCTATCTAAAATTGAAAGAAACATTGAAAGAATAAAAACAATTTTACTTCATTTTTTTTTAAAAGCTTTAGGTTGACAACAAAATTGAAAGGGATGTACAGGGATTTTCCATCTGCTTCCTGACCTATACACTCCAATTCCCCCTTCAGTGACATTACTGACCAGAAAATACCTTTTTTACCAGGAATGAAACGATATTGACATAGCATCACACAGAGTTCATGGTTTCCATGAATGCTCTCACCTAGAGTTATGCATGCTGTGGGCTTGGACAGATGTGTAGGGGCATGGTCACATCATTAGGGCATGTAGTGAGTACGATCACTGCCTGTGTTTCTGCTCATTCATCTCCTTCTCTGGCAATCACCGCACTTTTTATTATCTCCTTCCTTTGGCATTTCTACACTCATATAAAATCAGATGTTGTCTTTCATATCAACTTCTTTTACCAAGTAAAAGAAGTTGGTATGAAGGTGCATGTAAAGAACAAGCGTGTATTGGATTCCTTCCTGCTTTGCAAGCCTCGAGAGCTCAAGCACTGCTTTTCAGTGCTGACTAATATTCTCTTATCTGGATGAGCCACAGTTTCTCTGTTCACCCATTCCCATGGCATTTTGGTCCATTCCCAGTTTTGGAAAATCTGACTATAGCTTCTATAAGCATCTATGTGTGGCTTCTGGCACAAGTTGCTCAGAATACAGAGAAGCCCCGTTACTTAAGGTGGGGACTTACTGCCACAGTCTTTGGATGCATCTTCGTTGCTGTTGTCTTCAGTCTTCAGTTCATCTTCAGTTTTGTTTCTAGGCTGCTATTGCTGGACCTTTTCAGGTTTTTTTGTCCTTTTCTTAATTTTTTAAATTTATTGATCTGGCAGTGCTCAGGGATTACTCCAGACTTTGTGCTCAGGATCATTCCTGGTATGGCTCAGGGTACCATATAGAGCACTGGGGATTGAACCTCTTGTTCAAAGTAAGTGCCTAAACTTCCCTGTATTTTCTCTCTGGTCCTTCCCAAAGCCTTTTTCAACTGGGAAAAGGCAGTTTCAAACATGGAACAGAACTGTAACTTTCTAACAAGTAACTGATTTGGGCCAGAAGCAGCAATTTTGGGGAAGAATTGTACATCTTGCTTTAGGAATGGGAAAAGGCAACAGGCCACTTAAAAAATTTAGAGTGACTTTTCTTACTGTGCACACACTTGTTCAGCCCAGGAATGGGGGCCAGTCTGCTACTGTATTGTTGGGAAGCTTAAATAACTTAAATAACACTGAAAAGAAGAACGTATTCTTTGTTTGGTATGCTGACTGGGTATGACACCCCCCCCCCCAACAAATGAAAGGGATTTTATGACCCTAATAAACACTTTCCCAATTTTCTAGCTGTTGTTTATTAATTCCATAATTTCCAAACTGTTCTCATAGCATGGACAGAATTTCATTACCGTTTCTCCTTCAATGATAAAAAAAATTTTGATCTTGGTTTGAGAGTTCACATTCATTGTACTGTTGGGTTTGATCTTCAGCTCCATGAGAAGGCAGTGATACTGATTTCTTGATGTTTTAACTTCTGTCAAGCCAAAGGCTCTTCCATAGCAGACCAGAAACAAAAATTTCCATTTTAGTCCTCCCCAGGCCTTTGAAGTTCAAGTGTGTGTGTGTGTGTGTGTGTGTGTGTGTGTGTGTGTGTGTTTCTGTGGCAATTCTGAGGGTGCTGTGTGGGTATAAGTGGGAAGTTTGTACAGGGTCAGTTAGGCACTCTCAGGACATTAAAAGCCCAGACAAGAGCCCAGCAAACAGTTTTTTTCCGGCATCTGGCAGGCATCTAGGACCTTCCTCCTTAGTTGGGGCTCATCCTCCACGCTGCTCTAGGCCACCCTCCTCGTGGAGTGGACACAGCCCAGCTTCTCCTCCTCTGGCTCATCTTTTCTCTCAGAGACTAGGATGACCGACTGTCCCAGCCTGTGAGAGAACCTGGCTCGTGGAGGGTCTTCGCTGCACAGAGCAGTGGGTCAGCGTGCTGTTGACTCTGCAGCTGGAGGGTTCTGGGAGGCTTGTGGTTGCTCCTTGGCTCTCCGGGAAGAGACGACCTTTTGAAATGTGTTTGAGTTTTTGTTTTGGCAAGCGGAAGCTCTCTCAGGAAGGGTCTGACCTGGGAGTGGCCGTGGCTGTATGCATGTGTAAGTATGGCCACATCCCTCAAGAAATAACTTTAAGCCTCACTAGACATTTCCTGTCACCTAACCCGCTACCCGCTTCCACCAGACTTCCTTCCTGACCTGCTCTGAGCCAGCTCAGGGAACCCTCTTTTCTCTCTTCACAATTTTTTGCTTATTTTTGCATTTGGGGCCACATCTGGTGGTGCTTAAGGGCTCACTCCTGGCTTTGCTCAGGGATCGCTTCTGGTAATGGGTTGGTGCTGGGGATAAAACTGGGGTGGGCCACATGCAAAGCTTCATGCACTTTATCTGTGTACTATCATTTGGGCCCCTTCACTCTCTTTCTTTTTCCTTCCTTGGAGCAATGCAAATTTCTCTCCCTAACTTTTTCACAGCTATGATTTCTCTCCCACACCTGTCTTGTTTATATGTGCAAGTGTTTCATGAAGACATTTTCATTGTAAAATGTCAAATAAGAAGAATATCTTAAAAGTTTCCTCAACTGTTCTGCCCCTCCCCCCCCAAGTTGTTGTGATAATTTTACATAAAATGTTTTTCCACTTAAACCATTTTTTTTTATCACACCCAGCACTGCTTGGGAGACCTCACATGAGGTGCCAGGGATTGAACCTGGGTCAGCATATGCCAAGCAAACACCTTGCTTGCTGTACTAGCTCTCCAGCTCTACAATCTAATTTTTATTTTCACTGATGTAGCATATGAAAGTGTCCTAAATAAGCAGTAGTATGAGAAAAACTAAAATGAAATCAGGGATGGCTAAGACTAACAAAGAACATTTCTGTATTTGGAGAAAAGTGAATACTGGATTTGATTTCAAGAAACATGCAGGTTCCTTGTATTGGAAAGAATAAGGGAAGTGGCCCATTAGGGAAAATGTTTGTTTTCTATTAAACAAGGACCTGAAGGACAGAGCCCATGGATTTCATGCAGGAAACCCAGGTTTAATCCCAGCACTTTGCTGTCCCCCAAACACTGTGATGATCCCAAGCACAGATCCAGATCACAAGGGGTTGGTTGGCCACAGGGTTCTCTGATCAGAGAGTAATCTTTTTAATGACCACATCAGTATTTTGGGGACAGGATTAATTTCTCCAGAGATGAGTCTCTTGTTGGAAAATGAGGGGCAGCTCCTAGTTTTTTCTGCCTGTGGGTTGGGACCTCCAAACAGGATTTTGGGGGCTGGTTAGTCTCCTGCCCCCGTGCCTGGCTGTCCTCGCTGGGGCCCCTTGGAGGGGAGCGGGTTGAGTTTCCCTACCCGCCCCGACCAGGGCTCCG